AATAAAAAATATAAAATAAAAAAAAAAAAATACAAAAGGAAACAGGGAAAAAGTCAAATAACTTCGTCGACGTTTGGTACGTTTCGTCGATACCGGGGATTTTGATGAATAAGCGGGAAACGGTAACGAATTTTGGCGGTAGCATTGATCAACCGTTACCGGGGGGCAATCGTAATGTGACATTCGAAGCGTGTCGCGTGTTACGGGCTCCGGGCGTTAATTTAAACGTCACGTTATCTCCGCGGCCACTGTCGCGCGAGTTTTATCATAAAACGTTCTGCGAGCCGCGGCCGCGTTCACGCAAATTTCGTGTCGTTCCTTCGCGACGTTCAAGGCCTGTCGCTAGCGTGTTTTATCCGACCGTTTTCCCGGCTGCTAAATTATTCAACGAGTGACCTGTTGTACGTAAACGCCAGGCCGTTGCACACCCTCCGCTCTTTTAAACTCTTGACTGATTCTTCGTATTTCACACTCTCGTCCTGCCCAATTTTATTTCGATCGACAGCGATAAAACTGAATTACGCGACACAAGCGCTTTCCTACGAGACCGTTCGCAATTTCTATATTAGCGACGTCGCTCGTGCTACTAAAAACGTAGTTAGGTAAGCGAGAGCGTGAAATTCGCTCGGCAGGATTATACACAGTTGGGTCGCGACGATAAATTCCGCAGAGCGGTCGGCCGGTCCGGCCAAATTAATTAGTTTCCCGGTGAATCAGAACTGCGAATTATATTTAGCGAGACGCGCGGCGTTCATTGTTTGCCGCGAGCGTCGAATTCCACGCCTACGCGATTCGCGCGCGTGCAACTGAAGGAAAACCGGACTCGTTGTCGATTCGACGCAGCGACGGATCCGTGGAATTTCCTACTGGCGTTTTTCATCCCCGTGAGGACCACACCGGTCGCATTCTCTTACGAACGATTTATAAAAAGCCTCGCCGACACGCGTTATTACCGCGATTCCGCGCCGATCGCTCATCGTTTCGTTCGCCGGTCTCGATATCTTGAGAACCGGTCGCGATACACGTTCTTCGACGGTGCACGTGACACTGTTTCGAACATTAAAATCTGTGCTTCAACTCGCACCTGAATAAAAGATGCGCGACTCTCGATCGTTTCTCGAATCTCGCAACTACTGACAGATACTTTAAACGATGCACCCCTTTGCTTCGTTGATTTTCACAAAAATCCTGCATGTGAGGGAATCGAAAGCGAATTTGCAATTGACATACGAGAAATTTGTAGAAATACGGAATCTGAGTTTGCGGGAGCAGTGGAATCATTGTTTTGAGATTGAATGTCGACAAGACTCGTTGGTAAATACGCGAGTGGTAGAAAAGAGCGAAGAGGGAAGAGAAACGAAAAGCCTCGACGAAGAATGGAAACGCGCTCACCTCCGTCGCTTCTTTTTCCGTCGCCTCCGTCGGCGAGGTCTCCTTCTTGTCTCCCCCCTGTGCAAGGGGGTAGCTAGGTTCCCGTTTGGTTTCAGGGCCGTTGCTGCTACGCTTGTCCCGGTCTCGCCCTCGGCTCGGCCTCCTCTTCCCTGCACCGGGGGCTCTGTTCTTTTCCGTGCCCCGGCGCTCGGCCCCGTCGTGGCTGGTTATTCCCACCACGCGCCACCGGTAGCACAGCCTTCGTCCTGATCCTGATCCTGAGCCTGGTTGTCGGGGTCCTGGTCGCCGAACTCGAGCGATCGTGATCTCGTCCAGTCACCGAGCCAGCCAGCGACGGTCCACTCGAATGAATACGACCCGACACCGTCCACCAGACATGTGTCCTTCGTGGAAACTTACTCTGCTGTACGAGACGACGACGCGACCATGCGGGTCCAATCACCATATCACCCTTCTCACGCTAGAGCCCGTGCGTTCGTCACCACCGTTTCACGGGATCCGCGAGCGGAACCCTTTTACCGACTATTCTCACTAGAGTTTGTTTGTACGAACAGTCTTTGCGCGACGACTTCACTCGATTGCCCGACAATTTTTACGCACACAGCCAACCCGTTTCTGCCGATGAATAATAATAAAAAATAAGCGAGCGATTGCCTTAGCGAGTCATGAACCCGGACGGTTCACGCGATTGTCTTCCGTGGTCGATCTCCCGATCCGTCGAGCTCGACGAACGACAGCCGAACCCGCTCGAGGGAGCATCCGCTCAGCGACGGACGATTTTCAACCAGTCAACTCTCCTCTCGAGTTTCCTCCGCGCGTTTCCTACCGACCCGACGCCCAAAAGATCGTTTCTGTTAACTAGACACCGTCCCCACTGTGGAAGCTGAGTCGTGCGGATTCAGAGGAGTTCTCTCTTCGCTGGGATCACGTCGCACGTGCACACCGTGGTCGTGATACGATCGCGAGTCGTGTCGTTCGTAAAAATGGTCGTTCGTCACCGATCGGTGGCTCGCGGCTGCATTCCCATCCCGTTGACGATCGGCACGCGGTTCGGCTGGTACGCGATAGTTGTCCAGCGTCGGTTCGGCCGCGCGTACCTCGATTTTCATGGAAAACCGCGGAGCCGGGGGGGCTTGCGCTGCGCGTGGTATATCTGAAGCGAGAGATGCCACGGACCACTCTGATCAGCGAATTCCGTGCGCTCGGTTCCGCAGCCTCCGACCAGCGGCGACGGCGGCGACGGCGGCGGGACCAGAGCGCCGCGACGCGAGGCGCCTGTGCACATGCGTTGAGCTATACGCGTCCTTCTGTGTCTCTCTATCTATCGCGTTCTCCCCCGGTCGTTCTTCGCTCTGTCCTCTCCTCTCCTCTCCTCTTTACGCCCCCGTGGATACGGAACGATGGTGGTTGCGTACACCCTCCTCTCGCTCGCTCCGTCGTCTCTTCGTCCTCGTCACGCTTTCTCGCTCTCCTCCTCTGTCACGGGTTTTCGCGCGTTCTCCTCCTCTGTGTCACACTTTCTCCGCTTTGTCGCTTTTCCTCGTCCAACTCGTTACGCGTTACACCTACGCTCTTCTTCTTTCGCGCGATACGGCTTCCGAAGGATCGAGGGGTTGCTGGCTCTAGCTACACTGTCACGGTGCTTCTTCCCGCGTCGACAAAAGGGAGAGGCGTACGCTCGATCGCGTTCGATCGCCCGTATTGGACGACTCGCTCGCGCAGCTCCAAATCGGACGAGTGAAAATAAATTGGCCGAGCGATGAGCGACGCGGTCGCGGAACGCTTAGAATCCGAACGATGGATGTCTCAACGTTTCCAGTATATTATTGATACTGTTAGATTCCACGAACTGTTCCTCGCGTATTTGTTCAACGCGTAGGATACGCTCCTAACTTTTTCAGATACCGGATTGATAAATGTTTTTAGCGATAGATGCTCCGATGGAGTCGGGCACCGAAGTAGAACGGTCGGGCGTGCCGGGTTAATCGATTAATTTACTTCAATTCGCGACCGATATTTCGCGCATATCAATTCCATCTTTCGTTCGCTCTATTCGCCACAGACGTTATCTCCGCGCATTGTGTAATGGAATAAAAATACATGAACTTTCAATCGACTGCCCCACATTTCTCATAAATTCGCGAATTCCGTTCCTCCAAAGACCGCACAAGAGACGTAATAAAATTGAAACGCTATACAAGTGATGTCTCGTTCAACTAACATAAAATAGTTTGCTACGAAATCAGTGTTGAGATTCACGTAACTCGTAAAGACGAGTGAGAAGGGCCGAAGACTTGTAAAAGTGACGAGCGATGCACCACGTGCCACGAGGAGAGGCGTATACGCGAATCGAATTGAATGCGAGTCTCTCGAACCTCGGGTGGAACGTGCACGGCCTACGAGGCTCGCGCGAAAAATCGCTGAGATTCCCTGGTTCGTCCAATAGACATCTCGTCGACGGACCCGTCAATGCGTCAATCTGTTCGCCGGTAATACGCCTCGTGAAATATCTTTTAAAATTTCTAACGTCGATCCCACTTGCGAATTTCCAAGCATAATAAAAAGCCTTTTATGTACAAATATTTTACAATTTAAGAATGTATTGGCTATACAGTCAATCACAAAGGTTTATGTACCTTAGAAAGTCATTTCCTATAATTAAAAAGAAATCAGACGTCGGAAGAATAATGCTAATAATAAATAGCTACATGCTAAGAGGTATAGAAGGAAATATCCAATTAAGTATTGACGCTGACGAAAATTTTTTTTTTCAAAATTGCGAAAAATGCTTCAAATAAAAGTTGTTTTCCTTTTAACTTCGATATTTAACGAGTTACGTATGATTATTTGGCATTTTATTGATGTTGACAAAATCCGACCATCCCAGCGTCGAAACAGCGAACTTTTGGAAAAAGAATTCGTTTTTTGTCAATAACTCTTAAACCGTTGATTCTACGGAAAAATTGCATACGACCTTTCTTGTAGAGTTCGACGAGATCTACAATTTCTGTATAAAAGTTT